CTGAATTTTCAGACTAAGTGGTATGGTAAGGCACTACTGAAATTTCAGACCCGGGTGCAGTCTGAATTTTCAGACTACTGGTCTGTAAAAAAACTTCAGACTAAAAGTACTGAAAATTCAGTAAAACTTTTTTTACAGTGCTCTGCCTGCCGGGCCTTGGCTCCGGCCGGGCCGGGCCGCCGGGCCTTTACGGCCCCAATAAATGGCTTGATGGGAGTCAAGGCTCATGGAGTCCCCCGCCCCTTCCCTACGTTCTCTTGCGCCGCCCGATCAAACGAGGTAGGTGTGTTTGTGTGTGTCCGTGTGGGGAGGGTAGAGGGTGAGTACGTGCGCCTGTGTAAGAAACTTCCACGAGAAGGAATACCTGCAAGATTTTAAGCTGTTAATTGCTTCCTTTTGAAAGTGTGCTTGTATTTCATCAAGTTCTTGGTGCCTTGTTTAAAATGAACATTGTTGCGGTAACGGTGTAACAGCGTAGTGTGTTCACCATATAAAAAGCGGGGCGGACTGATAAGGGGGGGGGGGGAGGCAGGTCACACTACAATTTTACGATTTACTCAGGCAGCACTGATGATGTGAACAAAAGCGTCTTTCGTCGGCCAAACTACCCAATTCGACGCAGAGTGTAGTTTGTGTAAAGTTATTTACCTACTATTTCGAGTGGAGCTATGGAAACTATGAAAACACTGGTCTTGGCCTTAATTCTAATAATTTACTGTTAATGGGTGGGGTCTTTTGACAAATTATCGGCCTTCTTCTTCTTCTGTTTCTTCTTCTTCTTCTCAGAAAGCAGAACGCCAAATAGAGGTGTCTTTGAACGCCATAACATGTAACGTCTTTTTGGCAGTTAGCAGCTTTGAACATCAACATGTGGCGCCTATGCAAACGCCAAAGTTTTGCATTAATCAGAGGACGCCGATACTTTGGCGTTAAAATATGCCAAATAGTTTACGGTGTTGTAATTTTTTAACATTATCTTTGGTGAAGGCCGAAGTGTGCTTAAATCCGCTGTGTCTAAAACAAGATCTCTGCTACATTTTACTATGTAATGGTATTTAGGTGTTTCCACAATTTATGTTTCTCCCCACGCAAATGTTATGGCCTCCCTCGTAAAAAGCTTTTATTAAAATTAGTTAAACCTTAATTCAGTGTTTATTCATTTTTAATTTAAACTTAATTTGAGCCCCTTTTTTTAATTTGGTGTTAATAAAGAGTAATTACGGTTTTATTAACCGCTCTAAGCCTTTCTTATTAACGTTAATTAGTGTTTGTTGCTCTTAATAAAATCCATCAATGGCTGATCTTTATTACTTTAGGGTAATAAATGTCAATTAACGGTTATAAACCATTGATAAAGAAACGTTTAATTAAAGCAAACAACTTTTAATAAGCTTTACTTAGTTTCTGTGGGACATTTCATCTGATTAAACAATCAATTTAATATAATTAAGTTTTATTGACAGCTGATTAAGTTTTATTAACTGCTCATTTACACATTTTACTGTAACCAAATATTCACAAAGACAAAAAAATACTTTGACTAGGATTTACAAAGAAATGTGACATAACAACTCAAAGTAACAAATTTACAAATTTACCTCATAAGTGTTAGGTCGAAGACACAAATAATCACCGACTCTGATGACTTTGCAGCGAATATCAGTCAACTGAATTATATTTATTTGGTTTGAAATAACAATTGGAATGATGTGATTGACTACAAGTCCAGTGCCATGGAGAGTAAAAGAGCGAAGATGCTCTACATCAAATTTTTGAACTAGGGCTACTCTTGAGTCACTGACTTCACAAAAATATTTTATCATACCATATTCCATTCTCTGATTTGAAGTGTTAAAGTAAGAGATTGTAAAATTGTTCCGTCTCTTTTGCCTTTTGTATATATAGCTTGTATACACTTCATGATTTATTCGTGCTCTGTAGTACACTTCAACCTTAGCTTCTTGGAACGTTGCAGTTAACAACGCTGATTCATCCTTGGTAAAACTACAATTACTGACTCTATTTTTTAGCTCAATTGCTTCAGTATTAGAAGAAATGATGTGCTTCTTGACACGTCCCTCAAGTATTCCTACTCCAAATGCTAAGTTGATGTTGTTTACTAGCTCTTTAGCTTGATGTTTACTGCCATGTATGAACTTAGCAAGTTTTCCATTGAAGTTTTCAAATTGAAAAGCTGAATGGCTCCACAAAGGTCCATTCCTTTTAACAATAAGAGGAAGGTGAAGTAGGTTATGAACATAATACGTAAAGAAATCAGCTTTGTAAAGTCTGGTAAAATCGGCACAGAACAATTCAAGCATTGCAGTTGATTTTGCAATATCAATATCACTAACACTGTTTTGGAGCAGCAAGTAAAACGAAATGACTAGCAGCATCCAATGCTGAAAATACTCCTCCGTCATGCACTGAGAAAAAATAATAATTGAATAATACAGTAAGAATGATCTGAATTCATTAGCTTTCCATTTGGCAAAATATTCTGTAGATCTTGGTATTCTTGTTATAAAGTCTGGCACTCGAATGTTTTCAAGGAATTCATTAATAATGTCCTGCTTGTTTGATAAATTCCAGGGCCCACTTTTGGTAAATAAAATTGTCATGAGATGCTTCACAAGACAGAGTAAGGCATGCATATATTCAGGGAAAACCACAGTACTTCTGTCACATCCTGGTAATGATTCCACAATACTTCTCCCCTTTACTCCCTTAATGGCTTTCAGTTCTCCTCCCTCTAGCCTCTGTCTCTTCCTTGATTGTTTAGCTTGACTCTTCATGCGATCAGCTGTTCGGAGAACCGCCTCCTCTTCAAAGGTGAAAACTCTTCGTCTCTTTTTTCTCTTGACACCAGGTTGCAGGGGCTCTGCAGGAAGCTTCTTCATCTTCTGCTCACAAATATTACAACAATGCTTTCCACCATGAGACAGAATGTTTTGTAACTGGGCCCTGGCAGGTGCATCTGCTATGAATAGTGGAACTGTCACAGAAGTTTGGTGCACTACTTGTGATTTTGGATGAACCCATTGTACTCCCTTCGTATTAAGTAGAGAAATTTCTTCAACAAAAGGCTTTAGGTAAGAGTTCATGTTCGGTTTCGATTCATCTATCCAAATGCCAGATATTAATACATATTTATATCTTAAATGTGGGGGAAGTTCAGCAATGACAAATTCTAGAGGCCATATGGAAACATTTGAGCTTTCACTTAGAGATAAACCATCAGTATGCCCAATCAATGTCAAATTGTAGGGACCAGTAGTCTTCACATTTTTGATAACACTTCCATCACACAAATCATTAATACCTCCTTCTTGATTAGCAGCTGCTTCCCTTTGCAACGCATATTTATCTATTTCATCTGCCAATCCGTGATTCTCAAACAAGTTTTTAATTTGATCAGCAAGGGATAGCTGATAAAACTTTCTACTTTCTGCACCACAAAGTGTGCAGCACATTTCTTCCTCTCCTAAGTAATAGTGACAAATTGAACAATAGAAATGAACTCTCTCCTTGGACAGAGGGCATAAGTCTGACACATACTTCAGTAAACTATGCTTTGATTTTGGCATATTATTGGATTTGGGGAGAAATTTTAAAAGACTTTTCAATGTATCTCCTAATGCAGTTTTTTCCATACTATGTTGCAAGTATAAATTCATGAGTTCAAGTACAGCCTCATCAACAGTTAAACTACAGCCATTATACACTGAGGGGGAAACAAAATCACCATCTGAATCACTATCACTTCCTATTTGTTCACTGTCACTGCTATCGCAACTCTGCTCAAGCTCACTACTACTTGAAGAATAATGTTCATCTCCACAACTACTACTACTGCTACTCTTCAAGTCACTGCTCTCACTGCTACTTTCAGCTTCAAAATCAACATTGTCTTCAGAACTGCTATCTGAATATGCAATATGCTGTGCCCAATCGTCTCTAGCAGCCAAGACATTGTTTTCCTCCAGATTGTTAGCTTGGAGAGACTCGTGATTGCGATCAGTGGCAATGAAGACAATCTGGCCAGACATATCATCACAACTATTTTGTGTGCTGAAACCATCATGAAGACTGTCAACATTGTGATTAGTCTCATCCACCTCACTTTGTGAATAATAATTAGATGAACTGGGAACCTAAAATGTAAGATTAACTTGTGTAGATTATTGATTGTTTTAAAAATAACGGATGTAAGTAGGAAAATAGTGACACATACCATATCATTTAAGTTTTCAGAGAGATTACTTTCACAATGTTGAAACAAGAGCATGTTGTTATTTTGAGGCTGCTCGTACTGATTTGTAACAGAATTGTCTTGGATAGTGACACGATCTTCAAGACTTTCAGTATCGTCATCATTCACATCTTCCTGTGTGCGCAAACGTTTGGATGAACTTGAATCCTACAAAAACAAAGAAAGCCTCTCATAGAATGTAAGCGTTGTAAAATACAAGAAGGGAAAAGAGCATATAAAATGTACTGACTTACCCCCAATGGTTCAAAGAACGTGTATGGCTTCCGTTTACCATACTTGGTTGGTGATGTTGAATTGACCTCATCTCTTGAGGGTGATGAGACGGGAAAGTCAGCAACGTATGTTGGAGAAGATGTGGGTTCTTGAAAGTATACTGGAGAAGACGGATTGCCTGGTGATGATAAAGGTGATCGATAAGGTGAGGACGCCGAGTGAATCGATTCGTTTCCAGATAAATCCATGTCAAGTTCCTTGGCAGGTTAGTGTCGAATTGTTGAAAACTGAGAAAAACATCCACATACAGCGATTTGAAAAAAGAAATGTCCACATTAAGCACCCATACGCGATAGTATTAATATTTACCCTTATTCATACGAATTCCACATTTTCACAGTCTTTTTTCATTTTAAAGTTTGGACACAGCGAGTATGTTTTTGTTGTAGAAATAACCGAAAATCTAGCAGCCGACCATTAACTTCATGTTGACCAGCACGAACATGTATGATGTATTTTGTTTTCTTCACGGATTTATGTACCGACGACTCCTTATCGTCGATACTTTACAGTTCAAAATTATAAACAGTAATCCGTGCAAAAGTAAATTATTGGATGACTCCTAATGTGTTATCTATAATATGTGCTAGGCTTTATTTGGTTGGCACTTGCTGTTTGTAGAAACGCTTCGCCATTGTTCGTTGTTGGGGAGCTGCCGCTTGTAACGTAACTGCTTCAGCCTCAGCCTAGCCATTTCCGGTTCCCATTACCACTTCGTCCTCGCCTCGTTTCACGTCCGGGTCGTGTTAGCTTTAGCCTCCATTGTGTAACATTATCCGAATGAATCAAGCAGAATGTCGTCCTCCAAATCAAAGAAGTATTTTCTTGTAGAATCAACTGATGGATTCACATATTGTGTTCCATCGCGAGATATTCTTACCGCCGACATTGCGACGGTTGAAGTCGACCAGACTGTCAACTTCAACTATGGCACAAACTCGTCGAACCAGGGCACAGTTCTCCACATTTCAAGTGAGTATTCATAGAACCGCTTCGGTTCGGTTATTTGAATTGTTGAAGTTAGTTGGATTTCTTTGCCACGATGGTATTAGAGAAACTAACCTAATCTATGAAATGCCGCGCCCCGCCAGTTAACCTGGGCTAGTCTATCAATGTAAATCCTAAAAACTCTTGCTGTTAGCATTTGGCGGTTGATTTCCATGTCTCTTCCTGCTTCATCTCATTCAATTTCATGTGATATGTTTTTGTTTAGGTAACGAAAGTACAATTCTTGAAAAGATGAGAAAGCTCAAGAAACAGAAGAAAAGTATAAAGAAAGAGGCAAGCTTTCACGAGGAACTGCCTAGGAAAGCGGCACTGAAGCAGAGAGAGTTAATGACCAATCTGATTCCAACATCATCCAAAGCGTCCTCCAGCGAAAAGGTACTGTGCTAACTACTACCTCTAAAACTTATCTTGTTACAAATTTCTTACATTTTTCTCCCTGCAGGAATGTAGTCTGAAAACTTTGAACGAGGGTGGCAAACTGACTAAACCTCAAGTAAGGAAAATAAAGGCCGCTACAGAGAAAAAAATTGACCAAGAGTTGCACTCAGGTGACGACGGACTTTATGATGTGAGTACCTGCCCTTAAACTTCAGAGTAATTCGTTGATGAAACAAACTTGATAATTTCCGTTCTTTACTCTGTGCTACATTAGGACAACAGTTCAGACCGTACTGAAGTTATGTCATTGAAGTCTGACTCATCTATTGATGCTGCGCAGGAGGGTTCTGTGGAGGTACTTATTGGTTGATGTCTAAGTCAAGTTCTTTTAATTACTTTTAATTAACCTATTTCTTATTAAGTTTAATTACCTGTACCGTTTTGACTTGCAGCTCAATCAAACCAAGAAGCGATGCTTGGGCGCTTTAAAAGAGATATCCCAGGACAAACAGGCATTTTGCATAGCAAAGGATCCGTCTGACATGTCCATAGGACCATTCCTTGCTGTCCAAAAGAATGAAGATACGAACACCATGCAGTTCATAAGGAGGTCAACTCCCGAGTCAGGTAATACAGTGAGTGTTGCAACTCAAGAAGAGCACTCCAAAGTGGCTGGTCCCCCTGCTGATGCTGCTATCACGTCCAATTCTGCTGTCATGACACCTGCTGAAGAGAATAATGTGCCCAATAAGCTTCCCTCAACTGCAGTTGAATCAGCAAGTCCGGCCAATTCTGGGAGTCATGGTGATAAGAAGCAAGATTCGACGGATCCTATGGAGCGCCAGGAGACACATCCTATTTCAAACGAAGATAGTGATGATGGGCCTTCCCGTAAACTGAAGAGAAACAAGAAGAGCAGACGAAATAAGAAGTCTAAAAGAAGTAAAAAAAATAAGAAAAACAAGAAGAGACGAAGAAGGCAATCTTCAAGTAGTTCTGATTCCAGCGATGATTCTGATTCAAGCAGTTCCAGTGACTCGAGTAGTTCATCATCAACCTCCTCTGGTTCAACTTCGGGTTCTTCGTCTTCAGACTCTTCTGACTCTCATTGTAAGAAGCGAAAGAGACATGACTCAGAAGAGAGCTCTGATGAAGGAAAGAGTCATTCAAAGAAGAAAAAGGTCACAGAGACCTCAAGAAACCTGACTGTCTATGATGGTACCAATTATGTGTGTAGTGCCACAGATCCTGGTGTAAGTCTGCACAACTACTATACGTTTTGTAATTGTTTTATTCTTTTGTTTAACATTCAATGTTCTTTCAGGTTGTACTTCTTTCCGAAACTACTGATGGAGTATTTGTCAAATCTGATCAACTTGAGTGGGCTTTAGAGAATGCTACCTCTCCCACGCACTTCATCAGAGCGATGCTTGATAAAGTCTACACCAGTGAGGCTATTCTGAATTGCACAGCACAGGGATTTCCTTCTCGTGGCTTTGGTAAAAAGAAGCTCATGAAAATGCAAACAAAGTGCCGGTTGCACCCAGATGGGAGGAAGGCTCTGCTTGGTAAGACCACTTCTCTGTAGTATGATCTGGGATTTATACCTTTTTTTTGTAAATACTAATAGTGTTTTTTCCACTTGTAGAACGTACAACGAAACTTGAGAACGACAGAAAGACCTGGCGGCCTAGGCAGGGCCTCCCAGCATTTAAGCAGTCTTTTGCGGGTGCTATGTGCAGCCTCCGCAAAGCCCTTCTTAAGAAGGCAAAGAAAGAGAAGGAATTGGCGAAGAAGATGAAGAAGAAGATGAAGAAGGAAAAGAATAAGAAGTCCAGGAGGAGGAAGTAGGAGTTATGCATTTTTTCTATATATTCTTAGTTCTAATTGTTGGACTGTATTCTACTTGACTATATATTCTGTATTTCTTTATCAATATGTGTTCTCATT